CCCCAAAACCCCAAAACCCCAAAACCCCAAAACCCCAAAACCCCTAAATAGCTAAATTAAGTTGCAATTTAACAAAATATAATATTTCAAAGTTTATGGAGAAATTAAAAAGCAAGCGTACAAAAATAACTCACCGTCTAGACTCGATTGCAGAGTCTGATGACCCTCCTGATTTCTCAAAGATGGGTGATTTGTTCCAGACAAGACCTCACTACTCTAGAAAACATATCTCTCAAGATCAAGGTGAGAATCTTTTCCAAATTCAGAGGATTATTTTTCTTTATGTACTCCTTAAAGATTTCGGATACTAAATTTGCCATAAAAAATTGATCGTAAAGTCTAATTCCTTTGAATATGAGTGGCTAACCTCTTTCTTATAGGAGACCTTCAGGACATTGAGAATTTTATAATGGAGATGCAAGTTAAATCCTTTAAGAATAAGTTCTTTCAGCGAATCAAGTTCTTTTGCCTTGTGTTTTCTGCAGCCCTGATCATCATGGGGATTTCAATACATGTTTATATGGAGGATAATTCGAGCTCAGAGATTGGAAGAAACAGATGTATCGCTACAGGCATCCTACTAATAGTTTGAGTCGGGATACTAGAATATTATCCTGAAAGACATGGCATTATTGCTCCTGCTTTCTTGGCAATGACTTTTATATCCCTTAGTGATATTTATGCTAGCTCAGATAGATATGTGATGCATGAATATGCACTTCCATGTATCGGGTATGGGTACTTAATTATGGTGCTAATTCCAAGTACATGGCAAGCAAACTTAATAGCATGGATTGTTGGAATATCATATAATCTCACCAAGGTCGTAGAGAAGCAAGAAGAGATTCCAACTACTTTTTGGATTGCTATATTGCCAGCAATGTTTTATTACATTGCAACTTCATATCTTCTCAGTGGAAAGCTAAAAGAGTTGTACGAATACCTTAGAAATAACGAAGTCCTGAGAAACGAAATGACGAATATTTTAGAAATGTTTCCTAATGCGGTAATGATTAATCCCTGCAAACCTGACGAAAACGAGACAAAACAGCCGTTCACGAATCATGAGTTTGATGAGAAGATTACAATTATTAAGCATAAATTAGATGAGCTTAGAGATATAAAGCTCTCGTTTCTCCAAACCAAGGGAGAACAAGAAAGTTTTGTAAAGTGAGACCTTGAGACCTACCTATTGGAAATTCATAAGAGACTGAGAAATAGAGATATTTTCGAACAAAACAAGGTGAATATAATCTCTGATGGTCCTGACGAGGATGAAGATTATAATGCATATACAGTGAAGTGCATCAAGGTTGAATGGGGTGGAAGACCTTGCTTTATGAACGTGTTTATAAATAACACTGATATAATCAAGCTCGAGCAAGCAACCAATAGCATTAAATGTCAAAAAATAATGTTTGCTAGTGCAAGTCATGAGTTTAGAACTCCTTTAAATGCTATTATGAATTCATATGGATTTTTGAAGGAAAAATAACAACCAAGTCCTTGAAGAGATCTCAAAGTTAGAGAATGTAGACAATCGGTTCTTGATCTCTATGGATAGGCATTCCGCCCAAATCCAGAAATTTTTGAAAATGGGATCAACCAGCTCAACTCTTTTGTTATCCCTAATTGAGGATATTTTAGACCTGTCCAAGATGGAGGCAGGCACATTTAGTATTAGCATGTGTGATTTTAAACCAACTGAACTAATGGAAGAAGTACACGAAATCTTCACTTTGCAGAGTAAACAGAGAGGAATACAGTTAATATCACAAATTGATAAGATATTTAAGGACAAGATCATCCGAAGTGATAAAGGCCGAATCAAGCAGGTTCTTCTCAATCTGATATCGAACAGCCTGAAATTTACATTCAAAGGGAGTATTACAGTATGTGCTAAGGCCAAGAAGACTCGGAATGGGAATTATATCCAATTCTCGGTAACCGATACAGGTGTTGGTATTAAATAAAGAAGACCAAAAGAGACTTTTCAAACTGTTTGGAATGGCTAAGAGTGATAGAGGCCTTAATCCTAACGGCTGAGGGATAGGACTAACTGTTAGCAAAAGATATGTTGAGAAATTGGGTGGAGAAATCAAGCTTAGCTCTGTCTATCAAAAAGGCACAACTACTAGGTTTATCATCCCATTACCCAAAGATTTTGATATCAGAGGAAAGTCTCAGAAGGAAAGAAGCTCTTGTCACAGCTTTTATGAGCAAATTGGAAGCCAAGAAGTACGTATTTATCTTTAATATTTAGGAACTTATAAAAAGAGATAGCAAAGAAGAAAGTAAAGAGCAAATAAAAAGAGATAATGAAGAAAGCCTAGTTCTTCGCACAAAATCCTCTCGAAATGATATGGGTAGCCCAAATTTCTGATATTTTAGGTCATTGTGAGAAGACTAAATCCCAAAAGCCAAATTACTATTTACCCAATTTCACTAAGTAAGTACTCTCATTAAAATAAATCTTGCAATGTTCTACTAGAGTAAATTATTCCAAGTTGTTTGCTTTACACATGGTCTATAGTGAATCAACAGTTGAGTACTTCAACGAACATAGTGACGAGGATAGTATTAACCTGTTTGATTCAAGAGAGATTAAGCTAATCCAGGCAGCCAACGAATCCAGTTTTGAATCAAGTTATCATAACTAGGCCATATTAAATTTATTCAGCTTTTTATGAATATATTGGGGTTTTGGGGTTTTGGGGTTTTGGGGTTTTGGGG